AATTAAGTTGTAACCCGTTACTTGTGGTGTTTAATCCAAACAGAGAAACTGAATTGCACACCGATGCGAGTGCGATAGGGTATGGAGCTATTCTCTTTCAAAAAGTAAATGGGGATTTGAGAGTAGTTGCGTATTTTAGTCGACATACTACACCGGCAGAGGCACGTTGTCATTCTTACGAGCTTGAAACGCTTGCTATTGTTAATGCGTTAAAGCATTTTTGCGTGTATCTCTTAGGTCTTAAATTTAAAATAATCACAGATTGTAATGCTATTAAAGCCACCGTCACGAAAAAGGATTTGTTACCGTGCATAGCAAGATGGTGGATTTTTCTACAAGATTACTATTTTGATATAATATATCGAAAGGGAAAATATGTTGAGCATATAGATTATTTTAGCCGTAACCCTCCTAAAGATTATCGAGTGAATGCTATCTGTGAAGCCTCTTGATTAGAGACGGTTCAGAATAAGGACGAGGAGACTCAAAATTTGATCAAACGAGTACATGATAATAATATCTTATGTAGCGATTTTGGCGTAAGAGAGAATATTTTATGCCGTAAAATACTTTCTGATTCCGGACGAATCATTTATCGTAGTTTTGTACCGAAGGGTAGTAGGTTTGGTCTGCTACGTACGAAAAAACGTATGACCGGATTTTTAAAAAGTATTGGTTTCCAAAAATGAAAGCTTTCGTGAAAAAATACGTCAATCATTGTCTCACCTGTGTCGTTGCCAAGAGATACACAGGGCTGAAGCAGGGCTATTTGCATTCGATTCCTAAAACGTGTATCCCGTTTCACACAATTCATTGTGATTGTATTAATCCATTTGAAAAATCTAAGGAAGGTTACCGACATATTTTAATTGTAGTTAGATACCTTCACAAAATATTTACGGTTGGTTCCACTAAAAACTTTAAGCGGTGCTGAAGTGTTATAAATTTTTCAAGAACGTTTGACGTTGTTTGGTGTGCCACAACTTGTTATTTTTGACAGACGTACTAACTTCACGTTTAAATAATTGCAGCAATTTATTGAGAAACCCTGTAGTATAGTTCATTATGTTGCTACGGGTGCCCCGCGTGCCAATGGTCAAGCAGAGCGCTATGTGGCGACAGTAACCAATCTCTTGACGGTAGAAATAAAAAAATTTAAGGAATGGCCGAACAAGCTAGCTAAGCTTATGTTGTCATTAAATACGACTGTGCAGAAAACGACCGGGTTTTCTCCATACCGTTTGTTGTTTGGGTAAGAGCAAGGTACAAGTGTTAGTGATAGTGTTGAAGCCGAGTTGCCAGACACAAACGAACGAATTAATGTTAATGAAGACAGCGACTTGGCATCTGTACGATTAGTGGAAAATGCTGTTGAACAAAATACTAGATTTGATAAGAAACGCACGGACAATGTGGTGTACAAGGAAGGCGACACAGTTTTCGTAAAACCAGCCGATTTAAGACGAGCTAAATTAGAGTCTAAGTATTTAGGCCCCTTGTGATATCGAAGGTGCTGTAAAATGACCGTTTTGATGTGGTTGGCAAAACTAAGAGGCCACAAACGATGCCTAAGATCGTATGAAGTTATGGAAAGGTGAATGGTCTGGGAATATCGATCCTGACGATATTTGTTCATCGTCTGATGAGCGTAATGTTGAAGATGAACCGTGTTAGCGATCTATATTGTTTGTTATTCGGAATATTTTGCAACCACAATACTGTAAGCCGGGTACTATAACTCTTTTACGTTTGTTGTTTTTCCTCATTTGATTCTATTATTTGTTGCAAAGATCACTTAGTTGCAGGTCAGTTGATTGTTTTTTTTTTATTTTTGTAATGTTCTTTTAAGTTATTAAAGTATTAAAAAAAAGAAAGCAAACAATAATAATATTCGTTGTTGCGCGTAGAGTATTAATTTTTGCTCTAGGCAAGAACGCCGGTTAATTTTGTAAGGAAAAAGAGTGCTGGATGAATTAAATTGACACCTTTAATAATTACGTTAGTAAATAAGTATTCTTTAATTAGTAAAGAATTATGTTGCGAATTAGTCGCGAGTCACGTACTGCTTGTTGTGATGAGAGGAAGCGAATAGGCCGTTTTGTCGCCACGTTGTTGTTTTTATAAACCGATCGACCGATGACAACGCCGAGGCGATGGTGTTGTCGAACACTATACGGTTTTAAAATTATGGCGCTATGAATCCGGAACATACCGCCCGCCTCGCGGCGCCGTGCGACCGCGACGAATGACGTCACGATTCTATGCCGTGAATGAAGCGTAGTGACGAGCACGTTCCATTAACGTGTCGTGCCAGTCTGCGTAGTCCTTATTAAGGTAGGTAATGAACCGAATTTTTTACATCGAACATACGTGCGTAAGCGATAAATATACGCGTAAAGAACGTTGTGAATGTACATGGTAGAATATATGATACATTGCCTTAAACTAAATCTTATGAGCTAATCGGTAGTTTGCATAGGTTAACTACAGGACGGGTATATTCCGATCGTGCGGTCTTGATACTGACCACTCGCACGAGGCCGTCCTTACCAGGGTGACATTTGATCACCCGACCGAGGTCCCATTTGCCCGGAGGAAGCGTGGAGCTCTTCAGCAGTACCAAGTCCCCGATTTTAAGGTTAGTGGCGCGACTACACCACTTCGAGCGAGCTTGTAACGATTGCAGATATTCGTGAGCCCATGCTTTCCAGAATTTTTCGGTGAGTTGTTGCACCCATTGCCAGCGCGATAATCTGTTTTCGGTAATGTCTATTACAGACGGCGCAGGAGGGACCTTGAGCACACCGCCCACTAGAAAATGCCCGGGTGTGAGGGCCTCGCAGGACTCGAGGTCGTCCTTCAATGGAGTTAAGGGACGAGAGTTTAAACAGACCTCGATTTGACAGAGGAGTGTATTGAACTCCTCACATGTGGGCGTACGATCGCACAACATGCGTCGCAAGTGCGTCTTGACGCTCTTGACGCCCGCTTCCCAGATTCCCCCAAAATGAGGCGAGGAGGGAGGAATGAAATGCCACGTGATGTGATCTGCAGCAAACAGCGCACGAAGGTGAGAATCGGCAGTAACTAGTTTAAAAGCCGCTCTTAACTCTTTATTTGCGCCTTGGAAATTCGTTCCGTTATCGCTGTATAACTTTGTAGGTAGGCCGCGACGAGCAGTGAATCGGTTAAATGTCGCTAAAAACGCCGCGGTGGAGTAGTCGCGCACCAACTCCAGATGGATCGCCCGCGTGGATAGGCAAATAAACAATGCGATGTACACCTTGTGCGCCTTTTGCCCGCGTCCGCGGTGCGCGAGGGCGGAGAATGGTCCCGCATAGTCCACTCCACAATGAGCAAACGGCCGAGCTGGAGTGACCCTAGCTGTAGGTAAGTCACTCATTTGCTGACGAACTGTGGCTGCGCGCCAACGCACGCATCTAATACACTTATATATGTGACTTTTCACCAGGCGCCGCGCGTTAATAACCCAGTAAGTTCGTCGTAAAACGCTTAACGTTAGTTGAATGCCTCCATGTAACGTGTTCGCGTGGCAATCTGCTATAATGAGTTCTGTGACTCTATGCACCGGTAAAACTATCGGAAACCGTTCCATAAGGTCGGAGTTGCGCAACCGCCCGCCAACACGAATAGTACCATCTTCGTCCAAAAAGGGGTTCAGTCGAAATAATGGACTCGATTTAGCAAGAGACTCGCTCTTTTTCAAGGCCTTTATTTCGTTGCGAAATGAACGCGCTTGAACTTGTTGAACCCAGAATTTCCGCGACGCGACGAGTTCGTTGGTAGTGACGACCGTATCTTGATGGTCGTGTTTCCCCGTTTTAACTCGCGAAATGAAACGCGTGACGTACGCGGTAATTCGGAGGAGTTTTTGCCACGAGGATGTGCGTGTTGGCAGATCCCACTCAGTCTCCGACTCCCCATGCAATGCATTGATCTGGTTTTTGATTTCAGCCTCAGCTTCCCTCGGGACGACAGGCCTAAATTCTGGCCACTCATTAGGAGTTTGCGCCAGCCAGGCAGGACCGTGCCACCAAAGGGGGTGGTGAAGCAGTAGTTTCACCGACAACCCGCGGGACGCACAATCGGCGGGATTACAACCGGTTGGTACGTGTCGCCAAGAAGCATTCGGCGCTCGGCTTTGTATTTCCGCGACGCGGTGTGCCGTAAACGTTTTTAATTGACTCGGATGTCTATGTATCCAAGCTAATGCAACGGTGGAATCAGTCCAACCGTAGACCGGTACGTTATCGAGTTTTAATGTAGCCTGAACCTGCTCGATCAATCGCGTCATTAGGACGCACGCGCATAATTCTAACCGCGGAATTGTGAGTGGTTTCAACGGTGCTACCTTTGTCTTCGCCATAAGTAAATGTAACGCAACCTCGTCCGCGATGGAGATTGTTCGCAAATAAATTACCGCCGCATAGGCGTCTTGCGAAGCGTCTGCAAACCCGTGTATTTCGTACGCGATTGCAGCATTTCCCATCCTAATCCAGCGCGGAAGGGTTACTTTTGGTAAATCTTTGAACTCCGCGGAATATTCGCGCCATTGGTTGGTCAATTCGCAAGGTAGAGATTCGTCCCAGTCTAACTTGGCCACCCATAACCTTTGCATGAAGATCTTGGCCACGATGACGACGGGAGAAATCCACCCCAATGGGTCAAAGATTCGCGCGATATTCGATAAAACCACGCGCTTAGTCGGATTCGCCGTACTAGCGGAATCGAACTTAAATTGAAATCGAAATTCGTCCGATTTAGGTAGCCAGCGGATTCCGAGCATTTTTAATCCCTCGGCATCTTGAAATAAGCGGCTCGAGGCCAGCTCGTGATCAGCGTGGGAGATCTCCGTTAATAACTGTGGACAATTGCTTGACCACTTTCTTAGATGGAAACCTCCGCGTCTGAGGGCATCCGTTACCTGCTGCCGTGTTTGACGAGCCAGCACTCGATCATCGGCCCCGAAAAGCGCGTCATCAACGTAGATGCTCATTCAGGATAGGAGCCGCGAGAGGGAAATTAGTCCCCTCATCCAGCGCGAGTTGTTTGATGACCCGATTCGCGAGAAAGGGCGCTGGGGCCGTCCCGTATGTCACGGTAAGTAATTCATAGGTTTTAAGCTGATCTTCGGGTTTAGCGCGCCAAACGATCAACTGGTAGGCGATGTCACGATGGTCAATCCAGATTTGCCGGAACATTTTCGCGATATCTGCCGCGAACACGAACTGATACATGCGCCATCGTAAAATCGTGACCGCGAGGTCAGCTTGCAATTTCGGACCAACCAGTAAATGATCGTTTAGCGTAGACCCGTTCGACGTAGGCATCGACGCGTTAAAAACCACTCTCAATTTTGTCGTACTACTGTCTTGACGAATGACCGGATGATGCGACAAATAGACCTTTTGCTCCAAAGGAGGGTCTGATTCAAGAAATTCCCGCATGTGACCGAGCCGCAGGTATTCCTCCAGAAAAGAGTGATAAGCCGTAGCTTGTTCCGCGTCTTTGGCGAGCCGTTTCTCCAATCTATAAAAGGAGGCTACCGCGATTCCTTTCGAAGCCCCGATATCGATGGGAGGCTCTGATTTAAACGGCAATCGCGCTACGTATTTCCCGTCAGGTTTACGTGAGTGAGTCCGCCGAAAGTGATCTTCACATTGTTTGTCCTCTTCGGAGAGGAACATTACCGGTGGAGGCGCTTCCACCTCCCAAAACTTCCTTAACGTATTGTTTATTTCTGTGTTAAGGTTGCCGTAGTGCACGTGGAGTTGCATCGCATGAGACTCAGTGGACCGAGCGGGACCGGTCAACACCCAACCGAAAATCGTTTTCTGCGCGACGGGTTCTGAGGGAAGGCCCTTTCGAAGACCGTCGAGCAAGATCGCACCATAATTATCCGCGCCGATTATGAGGTCCACGGGTGCTTTATTATTCGTGAGAGGATCGGCCCACTCCAGACCACGTAAGTGTATCCATTTACTCGAGGCGTCTATTGAGTTTGAGCGGTAATTAGTGAGCCGTTTTAGAATAAGAGCGCGCACTGGAATGACGGGCCCTTTTCCGTGGCACGGTTCAATTGTGACGTTCGCGGAGGCGCGGACCGTGGCCGACGTCCCGGCCCCAGTACCGGAGACGGAAGCTTGGACGTGTTGGCGATTAGCGCGCAACGCGTTTGCAACATTCTCACGAATGAACGTTGCTTCCGACCCTGGATCAATTAAAGCGCGTAATGTCGCTTGTCGGCCTTCACGAGTACCGACTTTGATCCAAGCTGTAGCGAGAACGACCTTTTTTTCATGACGCGACGTACCGAAGTGCGTGTTTACCGAAGTCGACATCGTCGTGTCTTCTATGTTATTATCCGCTACGTATGTAGGTTGCGCCGAATGTTGACCGGATTCTGAATCCGCGTGAGAGGTCGATTCGCGACCTTTGCTTACGGACGACGTCTTCGAACCCTTTCGCTCGGAATGCAAAAGAGTGTGATGTTTGCCTTTACATATCGAACAAGCGCGTTTGCTAGGACAGGCGGCCGGAAGATGCCCCTTTTGTAAACAATTAAAACATCGATGATGTTCGCGCGCGAGTGATAATCGTTGTTCGACGGATTGCCCACGGAACACGTCACATCTAAACAACGCGTGATCGGCGCCGCACGCTACGCATTTCGTTTCCGCCGCGTTCAAATGCGCTTTCACGGTTTTAATAGGCGCTGATTTGTTTTTACAGGCGCTGTATCCTTCTCCGCGGGATGACGCCAACGATTCCAGAGTGCGAATTCGCACATTGAGGAACGCCTCCCAATCCGCGAGGGATGGGAACAATTCCTCTTCACCCATGCGCAACTCCCACTCCCGATGGGACTCCTTGTCCAACTTGCGGACAAAGTGAAAAACAAGAACATCGTCCCAGTATTCGACCGGACGAGCCATATTTTTTTAGGCCGTTAAAGCGGCGCGAGATCTATCGCGTAAACTTTTTAAATCGCTTAAGACAGCGGATCCAATCGGGGGTGAGTCGAACAACATTTTCAGGTGAGCGGTTATGAGCGCGCGTTCGTTCGCGTATCTGTCGGTCAATAGTTTCCACGCTGCCTCGTAATTCGCCGCGGAAGTGGAAACGTTCTTTAATAGAAGAGATGCTTCACCAATTAAACTTAATTTAAGATAGTGCAACTTTTGCACCTCCGGTAACGCGTCATTTGAGCCGACTAAAGACTGAAAGAGGTCTCGAAAATTCTCCCATTCCGTATAGTCCCCGGAGAATTTAGGCAATTCGACCCGAGGAAGCTTGACCGACAGAGCAGTTTCGCGATTACAAGAAGCGGTACTCGTATTACATGAGTTACTTGCAGGTTCGGAGTCCGTCGGTAAGGCTGCCGTCATAGCGTCGAGGGCGGCGAGAAAGGCCGCCTCCGTATCCCCGAAGACGTCGCTGGAGAAGTAGGGATTCGCCCTGGTGTCCTCCTCCGATGCAGCAACCTCGATCTGGATTTGCGTGGATTGGAATTTGGCCCAGTAATCCTGAAGCAGGTTGATACGGCTGCGAATCACTGCAGGCGTGTGATTCTGCTTCCCCAGTTTTTTAAAGTTGAGAAGTGCATTGTTGATAAGCCGGGCATGCACTTTATTTTCGCGGATTAATGTATCCATAATGTTTTGGTGTGAAGTGTTTCAAATAAACGTACTGTACCCGCAAGGTGAACTGTTATAACCACGTCACTGTTTTCGCGAAGCGAAGCGCGTGAACGTCCTCTAATGTTTACCGGCGGAGGTCGCGATGTCGGTTAAGTTCGAACGACACGTGCAAAATGCTTTGTTCTGCCGATTTAATCCGGCTTAGATTTTTGCACTTTCGCGAATTTCAATGTTCACCGCACGATTAAATTGTTTTTATGCGACACTGCACTGCTTTATATCCTTACAATCCGGCTCGAAGGACCATTTGTTGCGCGTAGAGTATTAATTTTTGCTCTAGGCAAGAACGCCGGTTAATTTTGTAAGGAAAAGGAGTGCTGGATGAATTAAATTGACACCTTTAATAATTACGTTAGTAAATAAGTATTCTTTAATTAGTAAAGAATTATGTTGCGAATTAGTCGCGAGTCACGTACTGCTTGTACTGATGAGAGCAAGCGAATAGGCCGTTTTGTCGCCACGTTGTTGTTTTTATAAACCGATCGACCGATGACAACGCCGAGGCGATGGTGTTGTCGAACACTATACGGTTTTAAAATTATGGCGCTATGAATCCGGAACATTCGTGTTGTATTTTTTTTGTTTGTCTTGTTGAAAAAAAGAATTTAATTAATTAGAATAGAATTGGTGCTTCTGTTGAAATGTGAGAATGGCAACGGAAACATAAGGCTGCAGTTGTCTTAAATTTATAGAATAAAACAGAGGTGTCTGAAGCATAACGTATGAAAGACGACAATGTTGTGTATGGAATAGAGTAACGCTAGGGGTTCGAAATTAAACTTTGTCGTAGAAGGCATGTGGTCATGGCCTTGGCAAGGTAGTCGAAGGACGGCGTTTGAAAGGTACACAAATTGCGCGGAATAGAGGACGTTGTAACTTCGATGAACTAGGATGATAAAAATGTGGGCGGTAACTACAGTAGGGTACAGGTAATGTGCGGAACTGTGGAGGTTACGACGCCGGAGAAACACTTGTGATAGAAGCGTTTGGCGGTAGCAGCGGCAGGGCACGGTCGAGGTGCGGAGCCGGGGGTTATGCGGCCTGGAGACGCTGTTTTGAGAAAGTTTGGGTGCCTGATCAAGGTGCAAAGATGATTAGTGCTGTGTGAATGAATTCCTGAATTGACGCTTCCCGAGAGCGTAAAGCAGGTCAGTTTGGCCATGTTAGCGTCAGCACGCGTGCAAGAGTTGACACGTGGCAGGGTCAATGCATTTGGGGCTTTGACGTGTTTTTCAAGGATTTCTCAGGATTCTTTAGGTTATCGATACCCCGAGCCATATGTCTGTCATTGGACATGGGCCGGCGGTAGTTGATACTTGAGGTGCGACGAATTCTAAGAGTCGTGGATGTTTTGTTTATGGAACGGCGATAGAGAATTCGATTGCTGATCCTCGAAGGAACGCGCGTGTGGCCGATGACCCGAAGTCATGGTGTTGCATGGCACGTGTAAAAGGATTAGGTTGATCTAGAAGGATCTGGCCACGTAGTGGGGAAGGTCTTGTATCTTCTAGTAGGAGGACCATGAGGAACGGCATGGCACTTACCCTGGAACCTTGGTCGGGTGAAAAATTCTAAATTATATTTCTGACAGACCGTTGCAGTAGTGCCGACTTCGATACCAGAAATGATAACACGCGCGTGTTGACGAGGCGCGCGCAGCGCGTGTGTAACGGTTTCGCAAAAATAAAAGTTACTTGTGAACCGGGGTCAATTGGAACACGCATTGTCGCGTGTCGACCACCAGGAGTGCCGACCTTGACCCACGCTGTAGCGAGAACGACCTTTTTTTCCCGGCACGCGGAACCAAGGTGTTCACTTAGAGATCATCTGTATTATCGTCCGTAATCGTTAATTTACTCGAATTTTGAATTTGTAAAGATTCAACGTTATTTGTCGATTCGCGACTTTTACTCGCCGTTTGAGTCGTAGAGGGTTTGCGTTCCGAATGTAAGAGAGTGTGATGTCGTTCCTTGCATATGGAACAATGACGTTTGCTAGCGCGACCCTTTTGCGCGCGAGAGATAGTCGCTGCTCGACAGATTGACCGCGAAACACGTCACATCGGAACAAAGCGTGATCAGAACCGCAAGCAACACATTGCGTTTCAGACGCGTTTAAGTGAGTCTTCACCGTTTTAATTTGCCCTAGCTTAATTTTACAGGCGCTGTTTCCTTCACTGCGGGAGGACACCAACGATTCCAGGGTACGAATTCGCACGTTAAGGCACGCATCCCAATCAGCGAGAAAAGAGAACAACTCTTCCTCGCCCATGTACAGCTCCCACTCTCGATGAGAGCGGCTCTGTTGCGTACAATACGATTGCACACTATTGCATTCCGCACAGCTCCTTTGGACACAGTATTATTGCGCACAGTAAGAATTGGGCACAGCTCTATTGCGCACGTGCAGAATATCGCACAGCACAGTACAGTATCGTAAAAGTTACGCATAGTATCAATTGGAATATTTATATGTTATTTGATTTTTTCAATCTGTGAAGCTGTTTTAGGCTTATCAATTGTTGTATCTATATTAAGAATAGTTGGTAATAAGGAATTTATAATAATAAATTCAAAATGTTAATAATAGAAAGATTAATTTTTATAAAATCATTGTGTACCACAGGGTTGTCTGCCATTCTTACTACGACTGTTGTCAGTTTGTGAAATAACGGTTCTGAACTTGGCGATGTCTTGTATTCATGTTTTATTTACACGTGCAGTTGAGGTTAGGTTAGATTATATATTAATATTCCATAGATTTAATCATGTCAGACGGAACATGCATAACCCGAAATAAATCACGAAATAAGAAGGGAAACGGGCGCACAAATTTAATTCCGTGTCCAATTGATACTGTGCACAATTTTTACGATGTCCAACTGTACTGTGCGATATTCTACACGTGCGCAATAGAGCTGTGTCCAATTCTTACTGTGCGCAATAATACTGTATCCAAAGGAGCTGTGCGCAATGCGATAGTGAGCAATCATATTGTGCGCAACTGAAGGCCTCTCCTCCCGATGGGACTCTTCATCCAATTTGCGGACAGAATGGGAAATAATAACGTCGTCCCAGAATTCGACCGGATGACCTAAGTTTTCTAGGGCCGTTAATGCGGAGCGAGATCTATCATGCTTTTAAACTCTTTAGATCGTTTAAAACCGCGAATCCTATCGGGGGTGAGTCAAAGAGCATTTTTAAGTGGGCGGTTTCGAGCGCGCGTTCATTCGCGTATCTGTCTGTCAACAACCTCCACGCTGCCTCGTAGTTCGCCACGGAAGTGGAGACGTTTTTTAATAAAAGATAAGCTTCACCCGTTAAACTTAGTTTTAAATAGTGCAGCTTTTGCACGTCAGGTAAAGATTCATTAGAACCTACTAAAGCGTGAAAGAAATCTCTAAAGTTTTCCCACTTTGTGTAGTCCCTGGAAAATTTCGGCAATTCGATGCGTGGGAGGGTGACAGACAGCGAGTATTCGCGATTACATGAAACGGAACTTGTATTACAAGGGTTACTTGCAGGTTCGTTGTCTGCTGGTAAGGCCGCCGTCATAGCGTCGAGGGCGGCGAAGAAGGCCGCTTCCGTATCCTCGAAGACGTCGTCACAGAAGTAAGGATTCGCCCTGGTCTCCTCCTCCGATGCAGCAAACTCGAGCTTAATGTGCGTAGCTCGAAATTTGGCCCGGTAGTCGTTCAACAGGCTGATACAGCTGCGAATCACTGCAGGCGTGTGATTTGCCTTCCCCTGTTTACGAAAATTACTGAGTGCATTGTTTATTAAGCGTGCATGCACTTTGTTTTTACTGATTAGTGTATCCATGATACTTTATTGTATTAAGAGTTTGATAAAAGAATTTTTAACAAAAAATATACCAACTTCAAAATGCGCTAAAAAGTGTGAAATAATTTCTGTTTCATTTATATCAATGCTTCACAGCTATTAATAAAACCTATTTAATCGTTAAATAGTATACAAAATACATTTCAACCTTTTCCAAGATGGCGCAAAATTCACGTAAGGATACCTAATAACTGTAACGTCTCTGAGTGGATACGTCACTGCATCGACGAAGAGGGAGAGCGGATCCCTGAGTAGGCGACTCGTATTACCTATTGTAATAGGGATTATAGGTTCGTGTGA